GGAGGATGAGACGATCTTGACGTAACCACAATTTGTAAGTCGGATTTGGTACTAGATTGGGTTCTCCGGGGATATTGATCATGGTTGGTGGACAACTGAAGGAGTCATCAATGTAGCCGAGCAAGTCATATCCAAATAAGAGATTAGAAAATTGAGCCTGCCAGAATGCATAGTTACCACCCTTTGATAACTTGAAAGGGAGTAACGTAGCAGCATTGATGGAGATAAGCCTTGTAGGAGAAGTACTATAAGTCCCTGCAGAAATAGTAATTGGAATATCAGAATAAGATAAGGAAGACATCCCAGACATTTTTTTTCTCTTTTTTTCATTTTTTTTGCTTTTTTTTTTTTTTTTGAAGAGTGATCTTTACAGAAAAGGAGGAGGGAGGGAGAAGGCTTGAGGGATCTCTTGCTTGTGGGAAGAGCAAGAGTAGATTACTGCCGCTGAGGAAGAGGTTGCAGCGATGCTCGAGGAAGCTACAATGATGCTACAACGATGATAGAGGAGGAAGCAGCAGTGATGTTGTAGCGAAGCTAGAGGAGGAGAAATCTACAGCGATTAGAGGAAGAAATCTGCAGCGATTAGTGGAAGAAATCTACAATCGACGAAGAGGGTGATGCTGTCGGAGAGAGATATCGCGAGAACAATAGCACCCAAGAGAGATGCTACGAGAACAGTAGCACCCGAGAGAGAGCAAGCCATCTAGTGTGTTAGATGTTAGCTTTCTTTCTTTTCTCTAGGTAGTGGTAGCAGAAAGAAGAAAAGAGGGGGAGGAGGCAGGAAGAGTGAGAGACAAGAAGAAGGGACGAAGCGATGGATGGAAGTTGACCTTCCTCTTCCTCACTCTTCTTGATCTCCTCGCTCTGGATGAGGCCTTCCTCTTCCACGTTTGCGTCGGTAGAGATCGGCCAAGTGGAGATGGGACTGGCGAATGGGGAAGCGGGTCTGGTGGGGAAGCTGGTTCACTTCGTTAGTGCATTTCTACTGGAGGCACCAACAATGATGTCATGGACATAGTTTGCATTGATGTAGTCGATGATGCCTTGGAGATATCATTGTCTTCAGGAACTATCTCCGCATCTGCTCCTCTTGAAGACTATCAACAAAGATCACGTTGCTCTGATACCATGTTGAAAGAGGATAGAAGATATAGATTATGGAAGAAGTTGTATTGCATTGAAGTTGTTCTCTCCCTATTTATTCTCTCTCTATTTACAGAGGGAGGTTTTCCCTCAACAGAATAGAGAAATTTCCTCAAATCAAAAGAGGTCACTGTATTGATATGTGTGTTGGGTTCAAATTTTCTATAATGTTCTTACGACCTCTTAATAACAAATTGATGTAATAAATTTTGATCATAAAATATGATATGATAAAACTGATTAGACTTTAATCAAGATTTATGATCTTCAATCAAAACGAATCTGCTTTTCTCTTTTTCTACATTTGCTTTCTTTTAGATGTTGTCATGTGATAATTTATTATATATATATAGAATATTTTATAAACTAATTAAATTTATTTGGTTAATAAATTAATTAAATTACTCTTGCATCAACTCTGCATTAATAAATTAAATTCATTTCCAGTGTCATGAAACTTTATTTCTTTCTTCCCAAATGTGCCCAAAGTAAAAAAACATAAACTATATCACCAAATGCTGATATAAGAGACTCATCCTTTTTTTGACTAGTCAAAACAAGCATCACTTATGTTGTCAGAGTTTTTCACGTTAATCATTGATAATTCCTTTGAAGGTCACTATAGATCGAAACGATAATTGCTTGCTTGCTTTCTCTCTCTCAACAATCCTCTCAAGGTAACTATGATTGAGATTGGATGACAAATTTTTGTTTATATTTCTCCATCGATAATCCTCTTGAATAAATGATGGTGGAGATCTCCGATAAATCCTTCTCTATTTTTTTCTTTCCCAATAATTTTCCTGAGATGGATGACGGGAAGTTATTCCACAACAACAATCTTGTCTTTCTAATTCTATTATTTTTTAGTTAGGAGAAGCTTAACAATACCCTCCATAAATTAGAGGAGTCCAGGGTTTACATTATTGAGCTAACAGCTCATATTTAGTCCGAGGTGGGCTTATCAGCCCACAGCTCACCCTCTCTTAACCTAACCCTAATTTATATTAGGGGAGGGTGTGGTGGTTATAAAAAGATACAGAAATAGACAACAAAGAGGTAGTTTTTGACAGCTCACCCTCTCTTAACCTAACCCTAATTTATATTAGGGGAGAATTAGGGAGGATTTAGATATTGTGCACAGTGATATAATCCTTGTATCCCAGTTATTCTCTTGTTATTCTTGCTAGGGTTTTGGACAAAAGATTGAGATTTATATATCATTGTTATTATAGTAGATTATCTCTAGTTTGCCTCGTAGTTTTTACCCTTCACATTGAAGGAGTTTTCCATGTATATCTTGGTATTCTATTTGATAGTGGTTCCATTTAATTCCGCTATGTGTTATAGCCTGCTAGTATTTATTCATGTACAAATTTTTTTTTTTTATATATCTCATCATACATGAACCTCTATTTTGAGGAGTTATTATTTTCTAATAAATTTGAGGAATCGAAAAATATTTCTTAAAATCTACTAGGAATGATAGTAAGATATCGAACATAATAATCTCCAAATTATGGAAACAAGTCAAAGTAGTTATCACTTGTGTTCTCGATGCATTTTCACGTTAATCATTGTTAATTCCTCTAAAGGTCACTACAATATTGGATTCGTGCATGCACTTTGTGCTTATTGCCAAATTTTTTATTCTATTTAGATTCCGGCAGAACAATTTCCATAATTTGTATAGACCTTAGTGTCAAAATGTCATGTCCAAAGTTCAAGTAGCTCAACCTTAAAATCTTTACTACAACTAAATCATGACTTATTCTCCTCTAGGTCTAGTTAACATCTACTCAAATAGAAGATTTTTTTTATAAAGAGTTGATGCAAAATGTTGAGAAGAACAAAGAGGATTCATTGAAATCGTCGAGAAAGAACAAGTTATATTCTTGATGACGAAGATCCAATCGATGAATCCTTGTTTATTCTTCTCCCTCCTGATCATCCTTTTGAGTTAATGACAATGATGAATCCCAACTTCCTTGATGAATGAATCCTCTCGAGTTGATGATAGTGAAGGTCAGATCAATGAATCCCTCTTTATTTTTCTTCCTCCCAATAATCCCCTCGAGATGGATGATGAGAAGTCATCCCTTACCAATGACATCATCTTTCTCATTTTGTGATTTCTTAGTTATAAGAAGGTTAAGAATACCCTACACAAATTGTAGGAGTCAAGTTTATATCAACCTATGTCTTGAGGAGTTAGTGCTTTTTGATAAATTGGAGGAAACAAAAAAATATTTCTTAAAATCTACTAGGAAGGATAATCAAATGTCAAATATTATAATATTTGAATTACATAATCAAGATTTTATCAAGGTAGTAGCTTTACAGAAGAAGTTGACAATAGGAGAATAATGATCTTGTTGTTAGATTTTTATAGTCGATGAAATATATAATATAACTAATTAGATTCCGTTAATATTTTAGCCAATAGAATAGAACTTCAAAGTACGATTCCATAATCTTGATGAGAGGAAATCTCCTAATATCTTATCTTAGACCTCTCGCAGCATATAAATAGACAAAACTTGATTAAAGACACGCATAGACGTACTAATATCTTATCTTAGACCTCTCGCCTATAAATAGATAAGACTTATAGGGATTAAAGACACGCACAGACGTACAAGATCAAACAGAAATATCTGAAAATCAAACAGAAATCTTTGAACAGTTGGCATCAAAATTTTAATCCTAGCGTAAAGGTTATTTTCGTATTTTAATACAACATATTACATATTTTTATGCTTTCACTTGTGTTTAACTATTACGATTAGGTTTTATTTTTTGCTAAAAGAAAAAAAAAGCAGCTTCCTAACAATAACTTTTGTTGAGTTCTTACCCAACAGAAGCTCTAATATCAAATTTAATGCAGGGCAAGTAATAACAAATTTTTTTTTTATAATAAAGGAATAAAAAAGAGAAAAATTAAAAATAACTAAAAAAGATAATAGAAAAATAAATGGATAACTATATATCGATATCAAGGAGTTTATACTAACTAAACTATCTTTAAGTCTGTCTATAAGGGTATGTCAAAGTTATTATATAAATCTCATGTTATTCTTACTATCATAACAATGTCATATATTTCTTTTATTTCTCACCACACAAAAAAAAAAAGATTTGACATATGTGTAAATCCCGTAATTGATGAGATCGATTCGATTGTGTTTCATCTTATAAATATGATTATGATTATATTGCACATAACAGACAGATAATAAAATATAAGTTTCCTCCTTTTGTATCTAACATTTCTGTTCATTATAAACAAAAAAAAAAAACAAAGTTCATAAGTAGTTGAATACAAACTTGAAAATGTTGTCCATCATATAATAATATTAAGTGGCTCTACAAAGAAGAATATTTCCTATGCTAATAATGTCTCATCTCTGATGGGCAATTTCATCATCATCATCATCTCTTGGAATTTACGTGATATGGCAAGTTATATTTGGATGAATTTTTAAATCAAAAGATAATTATGTTATTTTTGATGAAAACTAAATTAAGTATGTAATGGAATTATTTCTTTTACGTTTCAAGATCAACAAGGCTCCATGGCAAGTTGATGCGGGTCGGATTCAGCAACGACCGGATGTATCTCGACACCGGAAGCGGGTCGGATCTCCGACATCGGGCCAAACCCAAAAGCCTAGTATAATTCAAAACATTAACCATACGACACGCGGCGTCACTCGCATCATTCACCCGAGAAAAGAATAAGCACATGGCGACTGGGTCCCACAAAGGATCACGTTTCTCGAGTAGCACTAATCACGGAGCGGTCGAAATAGTGTGTTTAACAAAACAATTCATGATCATACATTTCCCCCCACCAAAAGCACTATAAACTCACCCCCTTTTTCTGTTCTGATACTGCGCTCTGCTCTGCTCTGCTCTGCTCCTCTTTTCCTCTTCTCTTTTCCAGCGAAACGGTTGGGCTTTACTGAAGAAGGGGGTATGAATAAAACAATTAAATATAATTCTCTTTTCCCTCCCCACACACACACACACTCATTTATTCCCCTCTATGGCTTCTCTCGATCCAAACCCTAACCCGAAGTAGAAATCCTATACAGGGAGCGCGAGGAGCGGGGCGAGGGGCAGCGACTCCGGCCCTCCCATGGAGGAGCGGTTCCCGTCCTCGCGGGAGAACCCGAGGGCCGCGGGGCCGACGTCGCAGCGGCCTGTGGCGCCCTCGATCACGGAGCGGTTCGGCGCCATGCTCCGGGATCGGGAGGAGAAACTCAGGGAGGCCACCGGCGAGGAGACGGTCCTCACCGCCGATGACATAGTCCGGTGCTACGAGGACGTCCTCTCCGAGCTCACCTTCAACTCGAAGCCCGTCATCACGGATCTCACCATCATCGCCGGCCAGCATATCCGGTACGCGGAGGAGGTCGCGGACGCCATTTGCACGCGGATCCTTGAGGTGGGATTTTTCATGTCACGTCGGTTTCGACCTCGGATGCCGCTCCTTGAGTTCTTGTAGACGGTTGATCTGATTGGGTTGTGTGTATTGAAGAAAATTTGGGTTCCGGTCAGGTGGGAGAAGGAATAAAAGGGTACTCCTTGATGGGAAACTTGTGGTCAATTCGAGTTTGTTGGCTTGTTTGTTGCATAGCATTGCAAGCATCTCGTTTGCTATATTTTATTTTAGCATGATGTTCAATGTAACCCTAACTCCAAGATCTTTACTTTTTAGTCTTTCGTGCATGCATATGATTGGCCGAGGTTGATGTGGCTTCCGTACACGCTTATATCTACTAAAGCGAGATTTTCTATACAATCAATTTAGGACTCCTGTGGTGATGATAGGAAATGAAAATGGGTCCTGTTTCACTTTTAATTAAACTGGGAACAAGCCCTTTGAGCAGGCTTATATATTGCTTGACTTAGGATTCTTTATGAAAAATAATCTTTAATTAACATGGATTCCGTAGTTGGTTCTTGTTAAGGAAGCTGAAATTGTATGGCTTAGACTGCTTTGCTGTTCTTCTTCCTAGAATCAGGGCAATCAGGCGAGTTGTATACTATTTTCTTTCTTTTCTCCCAGCTAAAATTAGAAGCTGTTCTCCATTATTCTCATTTTACTACATGTCTAAAAGGGTTTTATGCTTTATGGATTTGTGTTCAGGTAGCTGTGGATCAAAAATTGCCTTCTCTATACCTTATTGATAGTATTGTGAAGAACATAGGACATCATTATGTGAGAATTTTCGCTACTCGGCTTCCTAAGGTGAGCATCATGGTGCATTTGGCATATCTTCATCCTCTACCACCATGTTCGTCTTAGACTTTTAGCGGATTTCTTGTAACTTATATCAATCGAAAGAGGGTTATGTTTATCGTGCTGTTAAGTTTTAGGAAATATCTTTGCTGTCTTACTGCAGTTTTCCATGCATTAGTTTAATGGCACACAGTCTGCTATATTTTCTTAATCGATTGTATTCTGAAACTTGTATTTCTTATTCTGTTAAATGATGATCAGAAACAATAAATCTCATTTTGTTTCTCTTTGGCCCTCTTTTGTTGGTGTTTATTAAAGGTTTTTTGTGAAGCATACAATCAAGTCCATCCTACCCAGTATTCTTCTATGCGTCACCTCTTTGGGACCTGGTCACAAGTCTTCCCCAGTAAAATACTTAAAAAGATTGAGGATGAACTTCAATTTTCTCCATCTGAGAGTAAGAGATCATCAGGGATCACAAGTACCAGGCAATCAAAACCTCCATCTCCTCATCACTCTCGTGGTATTCATGTAAATCCAAAGTACTTGGAAGCACGACATCAATTTGAACAATCTGCTGTGGTAAGATCCAAATATCCAATTGCTGTTATGCAAATGCAAGCTCAGTGTCATGATTAAAGAGGTAGACAATCTTGACATTTTTCAATCCTTCGATGCATGTTTCCTCCTCTTTGAAGCTTAATGACACAGACACATTCAGTGGACCCATGCAATAATGTGCAGGAGTCTGATTATGAATTGTAATGTTTGGAGGGACTTGCTTCAGAGAACCTTGAAGCATGGTCTGATTCTACTTCAAAAATTTTCTGTGCACTTCTAATTTTTTTACTTAATGCTTTTTCATGTCTCTAATAAATGTGGAAACATTCTAATATGACTGTTTTAATCTTAGCTGGAGGCTTGCTAACCAAGATTTATGATGATCTTCAATTATTCATTATGCAGAAGTTTGACAATTATATTAATGTAACATATGTTTTCTCCCTCTGTTGAAACAATGTTCCATTATTTGGCCGGTTACACTGTACTGCAAAAGGGAACATAGTTAAAACATAAGCGACAAAATTGTTGGAGTATTGACAAATGACCAGCTTGAACTGGTATTCTGCAAAAATTTGGGAAATTTCACATTTACTTATTGTCAGCATTATGGTTCAGATTATAGGATTGGTTAAGATTTATACTGGCAATTCAAAGATTCTTTGAACTTTGCCAATCTTTTTATTTGTGTCTAATCTCACCATTCTTTTTGCAAGCTTTTGTGACTTGTTTTTCTTACTTCTACCCTATTTTCTTGGATATTGCCTTCTCTCTTGCTCTCTCTCTCTCTCTACATACACACACACACACACACACACACACATATACTTACATCTGTATATAAAGTATCATGGATTTGAATTGCATAAATAATCTCTCCACATAAAGTTTTGGTATATTTGACCATACCTAAATCCAACCTTCTTGCTTTTGCTCTGTTCTTGATTCATTTTATTTTTTATCAATTTATTACCTATGTGCTGGAGTAGGGAAAACAATATTCTATTTTATGTGTCAGCATGTAAGGATATTGCTTTGTGTAGAGCTCAATGGGGGAAAAGGGACCTATGTAGCTTGCTATAAATAGTTGGGACATTACAGCTTGATGTTGGTGTTGATGGCAACATATGGTGTTTACGAGGTGGATAAAGCTTTCAACCAAATGAATATAAAATAGTTGTGATGGTGGTGTAAGAAGGAATCAAATGCTTATTAACCGGATGAGAATATGAAGTTTGAGGATTTCATGCCACTATACAAAAAAAAAACTTTCCTGGGTAACTCTCTTGGGTCTTAGCATGAGACAAACTTAAGTACTTTGCTGGACCACTCTGGTCCAATATACTTCTTCTACACCTCTTCTCTTCCTATACTTGTCCTCCTCTTCCTCCTTGTGCCTTCCTCCCATTATCATTCTTCTCCGTCTACTCTTCTACTTGTGCTGTTTCCACTCCTAATCTACTTCATTGTTTTAAACCTAAACCATAAACTAGTTCAAATTTTGAACTGATTTGATGCAATTTTTAAGAGGCTGTTCAATTATGCTATGAATTGCACCAGTATGCCACCTTTTATGGTCTTGACTTTATACTGGAAGATTTGATTCTTGAATGGAGGACTCTGAAAGAGACTAACTTATGATTTCTTTTCCAGTTTTCCCCAAACTGGGGCTCTTATTCTGAAATCCCAATTTTGTTTTATAAATTTTCTAGTCCAGATTGTATTAACCAAATGTGGTCAAAAGCACCTCCATGACTGTGTGCTGTAAGCCTGTGACACTGACAACAAGCTTGTACAAAGAGAACAGAGAGCAGTGGTAATTGGACATCTGATGGTCATTGCTAGTTGTTCTAATTTAATCTAAATGTCTCTTTGTTGTTTCCTTTTCTCTGTGCATAATAGAGTCATATTACTTCTCTTTGCAGGGTATACCACATACAAGTGTTTCTTCTAGTTTACACGTTTATGAGCAGAAACCCTCCAAACAGTACAGTGAATCTGATTTTGATCTACCTGAATTGCTACCCCAGGACCTTGGGACATCGGGGGCAGGTCCACCTCAAACAGCAATGGTGCATGTGTCCTCAGCGATTGGAGCAGGAGGGTCAATGCCTCATTTGAAGAACAAGATATCACTATCATCATCTCCTCCAAGAATTGGTGTGAGAAGGCATGTTTCACCACCTAATATGAGATTTTATAATGGTATTTCTGCTAGGAAGATTGGTGGAATGGCTTCTCCATCTCATTCTGGATTTGTGTATGGACCTGGCAGAGTTAGTGATCCTAATAGTCGGGCTGACAGGAGCAGGCCATCCAATGAAGATCCTTATCATGTAGAAGTGTCCATGCAGCACAACCATAAATATGGATATGGCAAACAGCATCCAAGAGACTTGATTGATGCATATGGAAATCCTAGAGGAAGAGTTTCTTCCTATGAGAAGTTTCCAAAGGTTCAACGTCTTGATGTGAATGGCATAGCCAGTGAAGCAGCCACCAGAAAATGGAAGAACTCCGATGAAGAGGAGTATGTCTGGGAGAGTATGAGTCCAACTTTAGCTGATCAGAGCAGAAGGAATAGCCTGCCACCATTTGGACCTAGTTCTGGAAGCATTAGCAACCGAACTGGTATATCCATATCTAATCCTGCAATGCTGGAAACAGATTTTCAAAGGCACAGTTGGCCTGTCCAAACCCAGGTTCGTGCAGCCGATGATTCCTCTTTTATTGTTGATGATAGGATTACTTGCCATTGGGGTATTGACCGTAGCATTATTTTCCTTGTCTACTTTCTGTTGCCACTTTAGATTATGGATAAGTCTATATTATAACTCATATCTAATGCTGCCTCTTCTAGTAGTTCAAAGTTCTAGTACTAGTTATACGTGAAGAATGACTATTAAATGTCTTTTAGATGATCTTTTGGCATGTTCAAAATGTTTAAATAAGATGCCTTTTAGATGAAACAGCATTTGGCTGCAACTGTTTCACCACAATTTGTTTTTGGTTACCTTTTTTATTTTGATCTAGGACCAAAGCCAGTTTCTATGTAAATTTTTGCACAATCATCTATGCAGATTGGCATATTGGTAGCAACCCATAAACCACTGATATGGACCAGGAGGGATCAACAACATCTCAGCACTTTGCTAACCCACCATTTTTTTTTGTTTATAAGAAAAGATCCAAATACTTATTCCTTGATAATTAGATTTTGTTAAACATTGTCTATCCCATTTTGAATATTTAGGAACTGCTGAAACTAACCTGAAATAGTTGACATCACTGATGGTGTGAAAACAGAAACTTGTCTCTTTGCATGAATTTTTTTCATTTGTTCTTTTCCTTGGGAAATGTGATTGCACAATCAAAGTTTACTAGAAATCTGATTACAAAGGAACCTGGCATGCCCTTTTTTCCTTTTCTTTTTTTCCTGCATTGAAATATCTAGTTTTTTTTTTAACACTAGTCCTTTGAAGCTAAGCCTTTTACTAAGTTCATAAAAACCATAAATAAACAAGTATTAATTGATAGTTGGGATTGTACGTGTTGCAGTCTCATCCTGGATCAATGATGAAGTATCTGGATGGTACAACAAGTCAGACTGGGTCCCCCCCTCACCATCAGAAGTTGAACCGTACTCGAGATTCTGGAAAGTTTAGTTGTCTGTTCCCACAGTCTACGCGGCAGAGCCTTAGCCCAAGATCACGTAGCACGGCTCTTGCATTAGGGGGAGTGGCACCTTCTATTGGTCAGAAACTCCCTGTAGCACATGATAGCTTGCCTGACATAGAACTACCACTCCGGAGCTTATCAAATGCTCATGATGATCCTTTGAAAATAAACACAGCTGTGATAGATAGGCAATCAACACTAAGACCATATTCACCTCCTCAAGATATGTTGCCTTCTGCTCATAAATCTCAGTCACTGCCTTGTCTCTCCATACCTCCAAATCAAAAGCTGGTCAATGGTCAACTTGATATTTCTGAACCTAATAAGTTGCTAATGAACCAAGGAGCCGACCCACGTATATTTGTGCCTGAGAAGCAATATGATATTGTTGATAAGTATAGTTCAGAGTCAGTTAAATTTATCCATTTTCCCTACCAACCTCCTAGTAACACACATCTGAATCAGCAAAGTCAGGTACAAGGAATTTCTATGCCAATGCGGACTCCAGAGACTTATGGGAGTATTCTCCCACCTGCAACAGCCCTGGTTTCATCTTATTTAATTGGCCAGCCTGTAAATCACTTGCAAACATTAGGAACTGGGGTTTCTGTGGTTTCTGTTTTGCCATGTTCTTCATTTGCCACACCTTCTGTTACAGTGCACAGAACAATTGATACATCATTACATTTACATGGTAGCCTTTTGCCACCTTTGCCTCCTGGACCACGTCCTGCCTCATCACAAATGGGACCTACCCCTCAAACTATGAGTTCCTCAATATCTAGCTCTCCTGCAAGTGCTTATTCAGGCCTTATTGGTAGTCTCATGGAACAAGGGTTGATATCATTGAAGCCATCTGTCCAAAGCCAGGTACATCAATATTTCTTATGTTGCAATCTTTGCCTCAAATGATGTTTCTTTATTGAAGCATGTGCTGTAATTTTACAGGAAACTTTGGGAATTGAATTTGATATTGAACTTCTTAAGGTGAGGCATGAGTCTGCAATTAATGCTTTGTATGATGACCTTCCAAGGAAATGTGCAACTTGTGGCCTACGTTTCAAGGGCCAAGAAGAGCACAGTAGTCACATGGATTGGCATGTAACGAAAAACCGGATATCAAAGAACCGTAAACAAAAGCCCTCTCGCAAATGGTACGTGAGTGCAAAGGAATGGCTAAGTGGTGCAGAAATACTAGGAAACGATGTTGTTCCTGGGTTTTTGCCCACTGAATCAGTTTCAGAAAAAAAGGAAGACATAGAGGTGGCAGTTCCTGCAGACGAAAATCAAAATGTTTGTGCATTATGTGGGGAGCTTTTTGAGGATTTTTACAGTGATGAGACAGAGGAATGGATGTATAAGGGGGCAGTTTATTTGAATGCTCCAGATGGATATATTGAAGGTTTAGATAGGTCTCAGCTAGGTCCTATTGTCCATGCCAAGTGCAGGTCTGAGTCTAATGAATGTTCTGTACAAGCATGACGGTAAGCATATGTTGTTTTACACTGAGCACTGATAGTTATGATTTAAGATGCCATATTTGTAGTGCTGGTTGGACATGAATACTGAAGGATGTTAAATCATGGCTGTCCATGTTGTATTGTTACTATGTGCCCAAATTCTGTTTCTGATTTAAGATGAATGTCAAAAAATTTGATATGAAGCCTGTAAATTCCAAGAACTCACACTAGTTCCATTGATAATTGTTTCTGAAATTTGATTACCTGTAATCATTTCTCTCATTGTGGATATGTCTTATCTATTCACATGGTAAGTTGAAGGTTTTGTTAATTTTTCTAGAAGAAAGAACAAAGCATTTTCCAGTGTTTTACTTTCAATACATATTGTTTTCTTTTTTGCTTTGATTTTCTAGAGGTATTTGCCTTTTGTATGGTGATCTTGTCCCCCTTAGTAGTTGTTTAGTTGGATGAATTTTGTTCTTGTAAAATATTTTAATTTGTTAGAACCCTTTAATTAAGTGGATTAGATGTGAACATCTGATGTAGTTATGTCAATTCCATCAAAATTGGGCCATCGATGGTTTCTTCTAGGGTTCCAATATATTGATGGGAGGTATTTGTAATATGCTTGATATTTATGATGAAGCAATATTGCAAAACATACCTACACTGATCACCAGCCTTCACTTGTGAGGTTTCAGATCCTGAACATTAACATATTACATTAGAGAAACATGTGATGTTTAAAACTCTATAGTACAGTAGTGAGTTTGGGACTAAATTATAGGTTTTCTTTGTCTTTTTCCTTGTGAAATTTAGAACTTGGACATTATATTCAACATCTATTTTAAAGGAATCTGGCTTAATCTTTTTTTTGTTATTAGACAAACAACTTTTTAAAATATTTCCACTATTTGTAGTGGTTATAATAACGAAGCAAGTGCATCAAATGATACATGTCAATTGCTAAAGCTCAATAAACTAGTGTTTGAATGAATTATGTTGTAAAAGATTTTGACGTTGAGAATGCTTGAACAGCTTCTTCATGGTTGGGGGACACTGATTGTTCTGTCTCTAGTTTTGAGGGAGGTAGTTATGTAGCAGAGCCAATAATGAATATGACTATTCTTTATTTTGCAGAAGATTACTGTTGCTTGAAAGGACTTGTTCAATTAGACCACCCAATGATATCCTTTTGGATAGTTCTGTCCTACAACTTCTCCGATTTTCTTTTGAGTAGCAGTGCCTATTTTAGTATTATGAATTAATAGGTCATATGTTATGTGGCTTGTTGAGGATCATCCGGCTGTTGTGACACCATTCATTTCTTACTGTAAGCAGGGAAACTGACCCCAGATGTCATCGGCTCACCAAATTGCAGCATTAGGTTATGTAACCTGTAAATAACTTGGAAGAATTGGGGGCCACATGGTATGCAAAGCTTCATCTCTTTCCCATAATGGTCAAGCCAGCCTACCATGGCATAATATTCATTACGGTACATGTAAATTTAGATCTGTGTACCTACTGTACCAAAGTCTATATGTTTAATCCATCTCTTCTTTTACTCTCTTGTGCTTTTACATTATATTATGAAAAGCTTCATTTGATGCTACGTCTAAAATTTTAGTGGTGTGGTGATGTGGTCTAGAGAGTAACATTTCTCTTCTCATAATTTGACCTTCTGTGTCATTATTTTCTTCTATTCCCCGTTTCTCTCTTTTTTTTCCTCTTGTACAGTGTTTTGCAGGGAGAGTAAAAAATTTTGAGTGTAGCAATTTACCTTTCACCGGTTGGTGGATGAGGATAAATAAGCATGGACAATGCCTCTGGAACTGTAGCAGCAGCGGCTATGGAACTATCCTTTCCTTCTTTTTTAAACAAAAAAGCCTGAATCTGACAACCTGAATTTGAAGTGTCTTGATTTGCGGCTAAAGATATTGTATGTATTTATAAATCTCCACATCCCTGTCAAATCTTTGCATCTTAAATGCCTTGTCAAGTCTGTCTTTGGTGACAAATGCTTTGTTGTAATGGAAAGATCATTGTTCTGCATGAATCAGACATATTCTCTGTTACTATGTCAAAGTACGTGATGCATTAGTTTTTGTTCCACTAAAGGTTGTGGAGCTTCCTCGTTCATGTGCCTCTGTGATGGTTATTCTGTTACTGTGACAAGTGTTCTACATGGTCTTTGGCTGCTGCAATCTGGTAACAGTTTTGGTTTTTACCAATCTCATCTGTAAAGATTACTAGTCAGTAGTTTGCTCTATTGTTGCGCAGTTGAACTTTATGTTTCAGTAACTTGTGTGCAATGGGAAGATCGTTGTTTTGCATGAATCAGATAGATTGTTTCTGTAACTATTTCAAAGTACGTGATGCATTAATTTTTGTTTCACCAAAGGATGGTCAGCTTTCTGGTTCATGTACCAGTGTGATGGTTATTCTGTTAGCATGACAAGTGTTCTACATGGGCTTTGGCTGCGACAATCTGGGAACTGTTTTGTTTTGTTTTGTACCAGTCTCATCTCCGAGGATTACCATGCAGTAGTTTGCTCTATTGTTGCACAGTTTAACTTCATGTTTCAGTAACTTAATTATAGTTACATTTTGTTGCACCTGATCAGTGGTCATGTACACAAAATCGTACGGGGTCTATAGAAGGTTGATGTAGGTAACCTTATCTCAGATGATGTTCTCATGTCTTGAATGCTTAATACTCAAGACAAAGTTTGTTTACCTAATGATGGATCTGTTGCTGGTGTGCCTTTGTTTCAACTGTAAAGACTTTTTTCTAACTGTGATGACTATTTCAGGTTCTTCCAGCCACTTGCTCCCCCATGGGGAATGCTTGCTGGGGCGCCATTGTTTCAAGTCACTGTTCAAAATATTTCAGAGGATTTCCTGTGTGGCATTTCTTCCTCAACATCTTATCATCATTGACTTGGTATGTAGTTGTTCACATTGCATCTTTCTTGGCTTACTTGTCAGTGCCCTATTTATTCAACTGCAAGTAGCTCTCACACAATAAACAACTCATCACTATGTTGTCTCCTTGAACACTAAACTGCCTCAATAAAGGATCATTTGAATAGGACCATGGATCATGCTGTGTTGCTTTATTCATTCCACTGGCACCCGCAACGAATAATTATTAAGATGGTCTCTCGAGTCTAGAATTGGCATGATAGAGTTTGATTCCTTTACTTCTTGTGGATTGGTTAAGATGATACCTAACATACTGTTTATTGTAGTTATTTAATAGCAAATTCTTCTGAAAAAAAGTCATCAAAATGTTGTTTGAAGTGTAACGATTGATCTTACTAAAGCTCCCATTTTGTTTCAATATATTGCTAAATGCAACTAGATTGCACCAACATTCCTCTTGCATCTAACATTGGAAGCAAACCTTGGTTCATGTAATGTTGTTAATGCATTGGAGCAGCATCAAGTTCATAATTTGGCCTTGTTGCTGATACATGGATTCAGTGGTCCTATGACAAATTTATGATTGAAGGTTTAATATATACCAACACCTCAATGACTTGATACAGCTTTTTTTAAGGATATTGGTAGAAGTTGCTACAGAATCTACTTGATTCCTTTTCCAGTCTCTCACAGAATTTTATCAGATCACTGTTTATGTATACATTTTAATCACGTTATCTGTCTCTTGACAAGATGGATAATGTGAAATCACTGTATTTTGTATGTTAAATATGGATTTTGATTTTATAAACAAAATGTTATAAGTGGCATAATGAGCAAGAGACAAGTCTTTCTGATAATTAAGATGAGAAAGATTTTAATGAAGAAACAGAGAAGACTTACCTGATTAGTATAATCCATTCACATTATCTAGTCTATGGTAAAGACATCTGAAGCGATCCAGTTAAAAGGAGGAAAAAGTTATTTTTAGTCAAGAGTTCTTTTCTTGAGGCAAGATTTTTAAGTAGCATTAGGAACTCAAAATACTACTATTCTTAAAAAGATTCAAAATACTACTATACACACACACACACACACATTACTGACCTTTTCTTCTGCATGTCTTTCCCACCATCCATCATTTGCATATCCACAATCAAGAAGAGTTCTACATCTCATGAGAGACTGCAAGATGTCTTCCAATGAGGTGAAAAGATGTCTTCTTTATAATCTCATTGAGAAAAGATTGATAAGAAAAGGGAAAAGCTGTGGAACTTTGATGGAGTAGAGAGATGATGATTTTTGTTAATTACTTCTCACACATTATATTATGAATCTCCATGGGTTCATAGACACATATTAAAAGATTGCATTCACTGTCATATACCTCACTATAAAATTGGTGCATGCTGAGTGTCCAATTTTTTTCATGCATCTTTTATTGATATCCCTTCCCAATACCAGAGATAAAGAAAATTAAATTGAATTTATTTTTTTAACAAAGGTAAGCTTGTACTCTTGGTAGCTACTGAAACCAATTCTTTTGTTAGCTTCAGGATGTAAAACATTTGATGCACTTAAGAAACTCATCAATGCATATGGAATTCCTGTGGCTGTAGATCCTACAATAATAACACTCTTTTCTGGATTTCATCCAAAGAGAGAATTTGACAGAGGCTGTTCACAAGACAAACTAATGTTATTTCTTTGATAATCCCTAACACTATAATACTCTTTCAAACAATGCCAAAACCCTAAAACAAAATCATTAAAAAAATCAAAACACAATATGAATCCTTGACAAAAAGTGGTGTGGCATTAAACTTCAAAAATTAATTTAACATTACCAGAATCTAATATAGCTCAAAATAATCAGGTGTAAACCTCTAGTCTCAAAATAGATTAGCCAGTAATGCATTTTACAGTTGTTATTGTTGTTAGTGCATGTTTAGGGCTGCTGAATCTGCACCTCAACTCTACCCTCTTTCTTTTATCTTTAGCCTATGCAGTTTGTCACACTTGCCAATGGAGTTGAAGAGTGTGATGCGGTCTAAAAGCACTTCACCATAGTGGTAAGATATTTTCTGTTTTGTTGTCATTGGGAGAAGGCTTAGGTCTGGGAGCTCCTCATGCATGCCTTAAGAAGACAAACATGTAGCAGGTGCTTGAAGTAAAATAAAAATAAAAACAAAAAAAAACTGAGCACTTGATGTTTTCTCTTTTGGATTGTAAAGAAGAAAGCCTTATTTTCTTCAGAAAGGCCATACATACTATTTAGCTTTGAATAAGATGATTCTTTCCAATCTACCTCCTCAAAAACATGTGTCAGTATGAGCCAGGAAATTATTCTTGACATTCCTAACATTGTCCCATCTTTACTCCTATGTTTTTGAATGAGGCTTTATCTTGGCATTTGGAAGCCAATTCTCAGTCTTCATATAAGACTATGTTGCTCTTCCTTCATAGGGTAAGACCCACTGTAGTACATGTTGCCAATTGAATCATGGCTTTGATTCCTTTGGATAAAAACAACTTATGATTCATTCAGAAAAAGAATTAGGTTGCAGTAAAACGGGAACAACATAACATAACCTGGTGCTGGTGCCTGTAGAACAGTACAAACAAGCCCTAAATATACTTCTGATTCACCTAACTCTTGTCAGATGTGCAACACTTTTGCTGCCTTATTACTACTATATTTCGGTCATCACACCAAGTATTTGGTACGGTATGCATGTCATGAGGGTGATGTGTGATGAAAAATTGAATCCAGAACATGAGATGCAACCTCATCTGTGGTGTTTGTATGTGATGTGTGGCTATTTGTTGTATTAGAAGCTTGGTTTTAGTTTGGAAGAAAATTTATGTTGACCTATTAACTTAGGTTAAAGATTTTGAGTTGTGTGTTTACACTCAATAAATATGATGGAGAGCCTAAGTTAGAGATTATAATATTGCCACATCAAAAGTGGTTAATAATATGATTAACTTACAAGGATTTGATGGTTGATCTTATAGATTTAAATTTATTTACAAGAATTTGATGGGTGTTCTTTAGCCACATCAAAAGTGGCTAAAGAACTTGCTTGAAAAGCCTTAATTTTCACAAGAGATTTCATCAAGTCATTAAGAATGTGCATTTACACATACTGACTATTGAACTGATGTTAGAGACTGATTTGTGCTACTGTGGATTTCACTCTGTTAAACTTCTCTTCTTTTAAGCTATCACAAACCCCAACTGCAGCCTTGACTTCATAAGCAGCATCAGAATGTGGCACCATTTGATGTGCTTGCTTCACACATTCTATCTGCTGCAGTCTTAGATATGTAGGTATGCATGTGCATAAAGAGATGGTGTTTTAAGCATGGATCTACTCATGCATGGATTCCACTCATCAAACCTCAGCTTACTGATGTTGAACAGCTCTCTCCATCTTCACAAACAACTTGTGACCTCTGATCGCTAATTTCCTATAAAAGCCACTGAACCTCCACCCCCCCGAAGCCCAAAAACTATAGCTCCTGTAAGCCATGAAGCTCTTCATGGCCTCTTCTGCGCATCTCCTCCTCTTCCTCAATGCATGTCTTCTCCTTCTTCCGCTTCTCCCCACCTCAGGCCAGAGATCCACCTACATCATCCACATGAACAGTTCCTCCATGCCCGCCTCTCAACCCACGCACCATGACTGGTACTCGACCATCCTGGAGAACATGTCGCTTGCCACCCCCAACTCCACCACCTCGGGCCGCCCTCAGCTCCTCCACACCTACCACCACGCCCTCACCGGTTTTGCCGCCACCCTGACTGCCGACGAGCTGCGAGCGATGGAAGGCTCCTCCGGCTTCATCGCTGCCTACCCTGACCTGGAGATCAAGCTTCACACCACCCGCACACCTCAGTTCCTCTGCCTCAACCACGACACCGGACTCTGGCCGTCGTCATCCTACGGAGACGGCGTCGTCATCGGCGTCATCGACTCCGGCGTCTGGTCCGAGAGCCCGAGCTTGAACGACGGCGGCATGAGCCCCGCTCCTCTCTGGTGGAACGGCACGTGCGAGCTTGGCACCCGTTGCAACTGGAAGCTCATCGGGGCTCGATCCTTCAACGTAAGCTCGAGCACAGCCGATGGCGAGTCCGCGAGGGACAACGACGGTCACGGGACGCTCGTAGCCTCCGTCGCCGCCGGCGCCCCCGTTAGCGGCGCCTCCTTCTTCGGCTACGCCAACGGCACTGCCGTCGGGATGGCGCCGCGCGCGTGGATATCCGTGTACGAGGTCGCCGACGGTCGCACGTTGGTGGCATTCACCTGCAACGTGCTGGCGGCGATGGATGCGGCCATCGCCGACCGAGTCGACGTCATCTCTATCGCCATGGGCCTCACTGACCTCGTCCCGTTGTACGAGGACCCGTTCGCGATCGCCTCCTTCTCGGCCATGAAGAAGGGCATAATGGTGGTCTTCTCGGCTGGCAATGACGGACCGTCGAACTACACAGTCACCAACGCCTTCCCGTGGGCGATCACCGTAGGCGGGAGCTCCGTCGATCGCAGACTCACCGGAACCCTCACCGTTTATGGAGACAGTTTCACCGGTGTGTCCTTGTATCCCCTGTCCAAACTGCTGGTTGACCTCCCGCTCGTCTACAACGCTACGATCTCGCACTGCAACTCATCCGAACTGATATCTCAAGCCGCCGCGGGAAAGATAGTCGTCTGCCACGGCCTCGGCGGCATCGGCAGTATGTTCTATCAGATTGCGGCGGTCAATGCGTCGGAGGCTGCCGCGGCTGTCTTCGTGACTGACGACGCTCTGTTTCTTGAAGACGGCGAGTTTGCTTGCCCTGCGATTGCTCTCGACTTGGATACCGGCGAAGTGCTTCTAAGATACTTGAGTTCTCTACCCTATCCAACAGCGTCGATGGAGTTCCAGGAGACGCAGGTGAGCGGATTCCTGGGACCGGTCATCGCCGCTCCGGCTATCGGGACCTATTCGTCGAGGGGGCCGTCGCTGATAAGTCCTGACGTCCTGAAACCGGACGTGGTGGCGCCCGGCACGAGAATCTTGGGTGCGTGGCCGACCAACAAGCCGGCGGCCACCGCCGGGGCGATGAGCCTGGCTAATCCATTCGCCGTGAAGAGCGGGACGTCCTTCGCAAGCGCACACGTCGCTGGCATCGCTGCGCTTCTCCAAGCGGCGAATTACCACTCCTGGAGCCCCGCGGCGATCCGCTCGGCGATGATGACCACCGCACACCAGCTCGACAACACCGGTGATCCCATCAAGGATAGCGCGACGAACTCGGAGGCGACGCCGTTGGCCATAGGCGCCGGCCACGTCGACCCCAACAGAGCGTTGCACCCGGGCCTAGTGTACGACGCGGGAGAGGTGGACTACGTGAGCTTCCTCTGCAGCCAAGGGTTCAGCCAGGAGCAGATCATGGCCATCGTCGGCGTCGACAGCTACGACTGCTCGTCCCCGTCGCCCCATCTAAACTACCCTTCTTTCATCGCCTTCTTCCCCCCCCAGCCACTGTGGCCTGGACCGCAGTCCTTCATGAGGACGGTGACAAACGTCGACACGAAGCCGGCGGTTTACCGGGCATTCGTGCGGCAGCCAGTGGGCTTCACCGTCAGCGTCCAACCGGAGGAGTTGGTCTTCAACGCTACAATGGCCACTAACACCGCCAACTTTGTGCTGACGATCGTGCAGAATGAAGAGCCAGTGACCGTGGTGTCGAGCGGTTCCCTGACTTGGGTTCATGAGGAGTTTACGTACACAGTGAGGAGCCCCATAGTTGTGGTCGCTGAGAGAGCACCGGCGTTCCCCTGAAAGCTCAAGTCCCATGGCTTGCTTGCCACAACAACAACAACAACAACTACTACTACTACTACTACTACTACTACTGTTTACGTACTAAACGCTTAACTCTTTATACGTTATGATCATTGCATGCATCAGTGATTAGTAGATGGTGTCTGGCCTTACACTGTTCTGTCAACTGGTTTGTTGACTGTCTTCTCCGTTGTTCTTCATCAAATTCTAAGCGATGAGCTGCATAAGCAAACTGACATCAGTATAGAGAATAAGAACCACAATCGGAACAATTTGAAGAGACCAAGAACAAATCTTATTTCACCTATCAATTGGCTGTACACATCGCACAAACTTCAAAGAGAGAGAGAGAGAGAGAGAGAGAGCGAGTCATTAGCTTGAATGGAACTCTTCAAGGTTACACCTCAAAAGAAGATTCAAGAAGGAATTCAAATAAATATTCACAAAGCAAACAATTCAAAAGAGAATTCTGATTCAAACAATCCTTTCCATTGACTATCTCAAATAGACTTTTTAAAAATGTATACATGATTTATTATGATTACGTAATCTCTTCTAAGAATTAGGTTGATTTTATTTTTTACTATTTATGCCTTGACATTGTCGTATATTTGAAATCCTAACTGCGACCTCGATCACGAAACACCGCTTTTGACTGGTTGAAAGGCCGCAAACTTTTCGGGTCCCACAATTAAAGCCAACAGTCGTTGTCTTTCTTGTGTTTCCTACCTCGGTCGCCACACCACGGGGGGAAAGAGCAAAGACCAAAGAGCGTTACGTTACGACCACGTCAGTTAACGGACCCCCAGTCGGCCTAACTCCGTCTTTGGAGTCAAAGTTGATGGCTGTTGACAGCGTCTCATCCGTCGTTCCGTGTGGGATACGTGTGAGGTCACCATCCGCCGAGTCCGTGAGCGGTAACGTTACAGCAGGGTCATCTTACGCATCCAAATCCCTATAAATCTCTCTCCTCGGCCTTCGACTACTCCATCCTCGCTCATCTTAATCCTCTCTCAAGGTCTAGGGATACCAACGAAGGCCGCTCAAGGTATCGCCTTGCTCTTCCCCTTATCCCATCTTTTCCTTTATTCGTCTTAATTTCGTGTTGTTCGTTTAGTTTCTGGGTTAGATTCGTCTACGAGGGCTTTCTTGATTCGTCACCTGCTATTTCTTTTGTTGAAGTATTAGGTTCCTTTGATCTCTACCGGCGTGATGCTCCTATATCAGGTTTACCGATACTTGACAGGATCTTACGTTTTGTTTTTCTTGTACATCTCTTGATCCCTACCGATGAAATTATGCGACGTGCTACGTTTGGGAGCTGACTAGGTCAAAAGATTGTGGATGTTGGTCTTCCTCTCTCCTGTTGGTGGAGATTATGATCGAATCATTAGGTTTCTGTACCACTTTGGTGATTGATTGTCGAATTATTTGATGATATGGTTTGTAGATCTCTCTATATGATTTCCCTCTTCTTTTTATCGATCTAGATTTCGGATTTCTTAGTTGTTAAAGGATCTTTCGTGTTGATGTTTTTAAGATCTGATGTTCGGTGTTGATTGGATAAAGAAAATTATAAACAAGCATCTTCTGTATGGATCTTTATGCGACCTGATGGTGGGTGTTAATTGGATCAAGAATACAAAATTTTGTCTTGATATGTTTGTATTATGCTCAGGGTTTGTCTCAGATCTAAACTTTTATTCGTGACAGATGTGGGGTTTGATCTGGTGACCTGGTTATTTTTGTTGGATATTTAGATTCTTTTAGGAAGTATTTAGTTTCTTTGTATTGCTCTTTTCTTTGTGCAATGGTATATATTTTTTTCCTACTCCTTTCCCTTTTGTCATCTGTTCATGATGCTTTGGCATTAGGTTGTGTTGTCTGTTTGGTTTTGTGGCTTTCAGCTCTTGTTCTGTATTGATAAGCTGGTTCCTGTTGCTGCTTGTTTCAGATGCAAATCTTTGTCAAAACTCTCACTGGAAAGACGATCACCCTTGAGGTTGAATCCTCTGACACCATTGACAATGTCAAAGCCAAGATCCAGGATAAGGAGGGAATACCCCCGGACCAGCAAAGGTTGATATTTGCTGGCAAGCAACTTGAGGATGGCCGCACCCTTGCTGACTACAACATCCAAAAGGAGTCCACCCTCCACCTTGTACTCCGCCTCCGTGGTGGCATGCAAATCTTTGTCAAAACTCTCACCGGAAAGACCATCACCCTTGAGGTTGAATCCTCT